TGAATCATCGGACAAAGGATTAATCTCCAAAATGTACAAGCAGCTCATGCAGCTCCATATCAAAAAAACAAAAAACCCAACCCAAAAATGGGCAGAAGACCTAAATAGACATTTCTCCAAAGAAGATATACAGATTGCCAACAAACACTTGAAAGAATCCTCAACATCACTAATCATTAGAAAAATGCAAATCAAAACTAAAATGAGGTATCAGCTCACACCAGTCAGAATGGCCATCATCAAAAAATCTAGAAACAATACATACTGGAGAGGGTGCGGAGAAAAGGGAACCCTCTTGCACTGCTGGTGGGAATGTAAATTGACACAGTCACTATGGAGAACAGTATGGAGTTTCCTTAAAAACTAAAAATAGAACTACCATACGACCCAGCAATCCCACTACTGGGCATATATCCTGAGAAAACCATAATTCAAAAAGAGTCATGTACCACAATGTTCATTGCAGTTCTATTTACAATAGCCAGGACATGGAAGCAACCTAAGTGTCCATCGACAGACAAATGGATAAAGAAGATGTGCCACATATATACAATGGAATATTACTCAGCCATAAAAAGAAACGAAATTGAGTTATTTGTTGTGAGGTGGATGGACGTAGAGTCTGTCATACAGAGTGAAGTAAGTCAGAAAGAGAAAAACAAATACCGTATGCTAACACATATACATGGAATCTAAAAAAAAAAAAGGTTCTGAAGAACCTAGGGGTGGGACAGAAATAAAGACACAGATGTAGAGAATGGACGTGAGGACATGGGGAATGGGAAGGGTAAGCTGAGATGAAGTGAGAGAGTGGCATGGACTTATAAATACTACCAAATGTAAAATAGATAGGTAGTGGGAAGCAGCCGCATAGCACAGGGAGATCAGCTCTGTGCTTTGTGACCACCTAGAGGGGTGGGATAGGGAGGGAGGGAGGGAGACACAAGAGGGAGGAGATATGGGGATATATGTATATGTATAGCTGATTCACTTTGTTATAAAGCAGAAACTGACACACCAGTGTAAAGCAATTATTCTCCAATAAAGATGTTTTTAAAAATAGAATAAAATAAAATTCAGCATTCCTTTTTTAAAAAAATATATATGGGATAATCTACAGAAATCACTTCCAACTTCTTAAATGATGCTTGTATTTTTTTTTTTCATATGCAAGTCTAATGGAAATTTTTTAAATGTCCGTTTCCTTGTTATTCTCCTATGGACATGCCAACAATATTTTAAATTTTTTCAGTATTCCAACTTTAATTTTAAAATCAAAGACACTGGAGTGACTTAGAAGTTCCAATTTAAGCCATAGATGAAAATGTATCTGGTAAGAAATGCTTTACATCCTATTTCTTCATTATGAGAATATTTTAACCCAATTCTTTGATTTAAAAATACCTCTAATAAGTCATGATGCAAATAATCTTTCCCCATACCTCTTCTTTCAAGTTATCCAATTTATTTCATCACAAAGTAATAAATCTCAGGCTCAGAACCCATTTCTTAGCCAAGAATGGTGCCACTGAAATTGTTCATTGCTCCGACTGAAATTTAAAGTTGTTTAGGAAGGGTAAGGGCATGACTTTCCCATATACGTTTTAGTCCTACATCTAACATTTCATAGAAATAAATCAGGTTCCACATATTCCTGTGCTGACATCACAGGCAATAAAGATCTGCATCTTTCAGCCTGGGAAGAAGGAGGGCTTGCGATCTCCCCCAGCTTAGCATCTACTTGCGTGATGTTGGCAGGTTATGTGTGATCTTTGTAAGTAAGCCTTTGTTTCTTCATATTATATTATAGATAATAATATTTGCATCGTAGTTTTAATGGGGTAATTAAATGAGGTGGTATATGTAAAGCATATAATAGATCCTCAATGTTATTATGTACCAGCTCTTACTTAAGGTAACAAATAATTGTCCTTCAAATAGAAACATTCATAATTCATGAGTGTCCCTTTTCTACCAGTTGTCAGCGTTGTCATAAATCTTGCAGAGTTATAAAATTAAATCTACATTTTTCATGAATTGAAATGTTAATGCCCTGTTAAAGCTACTGAAATGTCTCATTCTGCCACTAATTGGCTCTGTGACCAGGAACAAGAACTTAACCAATGTGAGTTTTGCCTTTGCGTTTGTAAAATGACAAGATTGCACTGCCTGAGATGAATTTTAGAGTCTCTTCCAGCTCTGCCATTCTTTTCTGTGAATCTTATAACTCAGTTAAGTTGCTGTGTGATATATATGAATCGTCATGAGACAATCACATCTCGATTTTAACTGAATTCATATTCCTCTCAAAAAAAAAAAAATGCCGCCATCTAAAACTAGTCTCCCAAACAAATATCAGGATAAAAGGAAAGAGACAGAGAGAGAGATGACAGTTACAATAATTCATATGCTCAGATTTTGTAATTTTGGGAATCTCTAAAAGTATTTCTCAAAATTTGAAGATGAATTTTGTGACACAGGTGTAGCGAAAGAAAAGCATGTAGCAGGACATGGTGGACGCTTATCCATTAGATTTACAATCTACTGTTCCACATGCAAAGCTCTAAACCCAAGATGCCTTAGTTACTGGAAATCCTAATGACTGCTGTACTTTTTTTCTGAAACTGCAAAACAGACTTGTCTAATTAACCATTCCTTTGGTATTTATTTTGAAACCAACTGTGCATTTCTTGGCCCCTTCACATACAAGCGATGCCAACTCCTACACAATTCCATAGAATTCTTGCACAGTTCTTCCTTGCTCTGCCCAATTTTTTTCTTAATCTCCTATTACCTCATAAATGGTGAACATTTCAGAAATTACGATCCCATTAGAAGGAGATCTCTACACATTGCTCTATAAGACACTGGAGGAAAAATTCAAAAGATGCTGCTGCACAAAAGTGGGAAAAAGTTCCGTAAATTAAATTTCAAATGGACAGAAGAAAGTTAAGTGCTGTGTATGAAGAGCCCAGATTCTCTTTGACAGATGGCACACAGTGCTTGCTGCTCGGGGCTTACTCCACTGCCAATACAGAAACAATAAACCTGCTTACTGATTTTAAAGAGATCTGTAATTAAGTTTGACATTCGAACAGATAAAGGTTTACCAAGGCAGCGCAGCCAGGATTTAAGGGGTCTTAAAATGGGATACTATTTAATTGATGTAAATGTCATTCCCAGGATGGCAAAACTTCAGGAACTCCAACTTGTATGTGTGTGTAGGTGTTCATGGCTGTGAGTACACACACGTGTGCACAATGAGTTCTAAAGTTTTAAGTGGTGTGTACCCATCTGAAATTTTCTTGAGCTTAGAAAAGCAAAGGTTGCAACCCCTTACATTCAGTTGCCCTGGGCAAGCAAGAAAAATATCTGTCAAGACCCAGGTCTCACTGTTAAGGCTGGAGTTGAGAAATGCCCTCCAAATGCCTTCAAGTCAACATTAGCTATGACAGAAGCAAGACTATTATTTAACGGTAGCAGCAAATGTCAAAAACAAACTGTGCCTGGTGTTTTGACAAGACACTTTTGAAAGAGAACCACTTCTTCAGCACGTGTGTAACCATGGGGGAGAACACGACAATTAATACCCTGAGGTCTGGTAATAGGATTTCCAGAGTGCTTGGTGGTTCCTTTCTGATACACATGAAAGGCGTAGGCAAGTGGCGGACATGGGCAAAAATAACCCAAAGAGATGAAGCCTGGAGAAAAGGGCTGATAGGTTAGAAATCAGGTGCCGTGTGGCTAATTAAAATGTAACTCCTTCTATGGGAAAGTGCACTCTCACAGTGGTGACACTATAAAGTATGAGGACAGAGCCATCATCCCTAGGTAAAAATAAGATGCTGACAAAACCTATCTACTATTTCCCATACCCTTCCTTCCCTCTGGTGTCCTCATGCCATCCTGCAGCATCTCACCTGAGCTTCCCTCCCTGGATGACATCCCAGCCTAACCTGGCCAAACCTCCAGCTGAACAATTACTCAGTATAACAACGACCAGCCAGTGTTCTGTCCTGCTTCCTTAGGAACCTGCTCGCTGTTGACTAACCTGGTGAGGGAAGCTGTGGACAGTGGTCTTCGGCGGAGTAGATTCTGCTCCCTTCCATTTTGATAAAAAAATGAGGGAAGTTATCCTGATGCAGAGGGGATGCCAACGTGCTGGAACAGTACAGTACCCGTACTTTGAAATGAATAGACAGGAGGGAAAGAAGAACTAATATTTCACTGGACACCTGTTTACATATTACTGCATTTAATGGTAATGGTCCTCCAAGAAAGGTGGGAGTGTATCTCCATTTTGTAGATGAAAAACTGAAGTTTCAAGAGCTTGGGGGACTTGCCCAGGGTCCCAGTCTGTAAATAACTCCTTGGGTGACACAAATCAAGCCTGAGTTTGTTCAATTCCCAAGGCTCTTTCCTGACTCTGCTCAACCTCAGGATTGCGCCTTGATCAGCCACAGGATGTTCTTTTTCAGTAAAAGTCTAATGACGATGGGAATGCTCTGGGCTGTGCTAGATGGGGTAGCCTCAACACGCAGGGCTCCCACAGGTAACCCCGCGGGCAGCTGGGGGCCCTGTCTAAGCAGAGCACGTCCTGCTGGTAGGCTCTTTCGGAGCCACTTAAACCCCCAGAGTGAAGTGAAGCCATGTTTTCAGTCTGTCCTCCCACCACTTCCTCAACCTGCAATCTTCACCACCTCCAGACCGGACTTTGGAGTCTTCTTAGAACATCCGCCTGTCTGTCCATGTGGTGTTCCTGTCCATCCCATGCCCAAGAGAACTGTCCTCCCCTCCTCGAGCTGGCCTGACCCGTCAGTACCTGTGCCCCTGCCTTCCAGATGCCTTTCCCAGGCCACCGTGTTAACATCCTCTTCCTACTCTAATGGAACTTACCGTCTATACAGCTCACGTGCATGGATCCCACCAGGCCAGTACTTACGTATTGTGGGCACATCAAAAGCTAGACCGGCCAGCACAATAATTCACACAGACTTCTCTCAGACTTAACTTTTTAATAGGTCAGAAGTCAAAACCTGTTAAAAATTTTATCTCCTTTCTATGCTGTCAGGTTTCCACATGGGACTGTGTCTGTGGAGGCTGAGGTAGGATGTCTGCTATCAAGAGAGCCTTCAGGTTCAAGTCCAGGCATTCCCTGAGGGCTAAAGTCGTCAGGCTCTCCAAGTATGCTTATGTTAACTTCCTAGAGAAGCCGGATCCCAGAGTGAAGCAACACGTGAAACACGTCTATGAAGTCAAGGTCGCATTCGTGTCAGAGATGCCTCGGTGCCAAGTCACTTAGTGATGGTCTTGGAAATCTGCTGGAAATGTACATGAAAGATAGTTTGCAGGGACTTGCAGGGACAGTACCATGTGGTGGTGAGAATCCTTGACTGTTGGAGCAAAGTTAGACCGGAGTTTGAAATGCTGCTCCGCCATTCAGAAAAACGTGGATGTTGGCAGCTGTATAACGATCCTTATCTGTGTGGTAGGGACATTTGTAGGAAGCACTAAGGAAACACTTGATTCACTCCCTCCCCCTCACCCCCTCCCTTTCAGATGATAGGAAAAGACAAAAGTGGACTCCTTCCTTCTTCCCCACCCTTCCAGGACTTGGATACAAAGTTTGTATTTTATGTATTTTAAAGGCTATAATTTTACCACCAAAAGAATTTTCATTTCCTTATAACTCTGTTCACTACGAATCACTTGCGAAGAAAAATATTCTAGTGGGAAGAGAGTGCTACAAAATGCTTTAAACCAACTGAGGTGGACATTACCAATGATCACCTATATTTGGTTCTCCTGTCAGGGGAGGGATTGCACATCCCAGCCCCCTTGCAGGTAGTTGGGGTCACAGGACCAGAACTAATCCTAACAAAGATTTAAGAATCACTAGTTTACTTTTTGTGGGGAAAAAATAAAGTTGAATCTGACTCAACTTTATTATGAATTTTACATATATTCTAGAAGACTTGCTTCAACATATCCTGGCCCGCCTTCTCTCTTGGACAGGCATGATATCAACCCACACTAGGTCTGAGGCATAGAAAATTCCGCAAAGATCTGTCTTTACAAACATCTTTAAACTTCATCTTCAGTTTGTCAGTGTGCAGGTTTCCCAAGTCCAGTGTGTGGAGACCAAGCACAGCAGCTGCCTCCAGCTGATCCTAAGATGATGGGGCAGCAGTCTGTCCTCCTGTAATGTCCTGCTGCAAAATTTCAAGCTTTTGTGAAGGCAGAAGGAACTGTTTCAAAACAGAACTGTCACCGTCATAACTTGGTTGAGCAGACATTCCCAGAAGATCTAGGAGTGCCATGTGATGACTATAAAGGAAATAGAAATGACTTTCATTCAATGGCAGAAATTCCCAGGGAATGCATTTTAGAAACTTTTCTTCTAAAACAAACAGATTCAGCAGTTGGGTTCTTTCTTTCTTTTGTCTACTCAATTGCTCATCACAATGAATTGGTCCACAATCACATTCCGTACAAGTTACTCAAAACATGTTTCTAAGAGAGACAAAATCTCACGAACTGAACAAACTCGTGGAAACACAGTAGTACTGAGTGAATTTATTAGTTTCAGAACAGTAATAAAAAAAAAGATTATTTTAAATGGAAATACGTTTCCTAAGTGCTCATTACTTTTAAAGCCCACCTTTGGGGAAGCCATAGAACTATTAGCAGTTACAAATCCTGCCATGACCAAGCAGAATAAAACACAGTTGTGCCAGCACAGAATTTTGATTTAGAATCAAAACCGTCCCTTGCTCATGAAAATCCTTATAGACACCTCAGCCAGAGCAACGGTGAAAGGGAAAAATTGCCCACATATGACAATCAGTGTTGACACGAGGCTCATCAATAGCCCAGTCTTTCACAGGCACATCATTATCTATCTGATCTGCCAAATCTGATCCTTAACAACATTTTCTTCAGAACAGTTGACATACCCTGGAAAAGTCTGTCTTGTAAATCACAGAGAAGGATGACAGGTTTCACAGATTTCATCAGTGATAAAAAGAAGGGAGGCATAAAGGAACAGATACAAGGATATTTACACTTCCTGGCACAATGATCTCAATGAACTAAATGTATTTCGAAGGCAAAAAAAAATCTCCATACCCCAATTTTTATTGAGACCAAGCAGAAAACCACTGACTTAACCTATTTATCTCAGCTCCCAATTAAATTGAATTTTTGAAATGTGAAGACAAATGATCAGGCAAATGGCAAGATTTTACAGTATAAAAAATTGTGGGGAAGATTGAATCAGGGAGGCAGACTAGTCAAGCTGTAGCTTTTCCCTCCTATCCCAAATCCATAGAAACAACAAAAGATTTTTAAAAGGTAAAGGAATCTACAAGTATACTGCCAGATAAGGAGAAGTCTCCTCCATGTCTTTACCACTACCAGGAAGCCCTGAAAGCAAGAAAACAATTGAGAGCAGATAGGTGGAAAGAAACCACAGCTCACTCAAGGAAAGGATTTGCTAAAAATGAAACTGGGGACATTCAAAGCTCATAGGTGGCTAATGCTTGGAGCCAGAAATACCAAGGGCAACAGACCTCATGCGTTAGAGCAGGCTCCTGCAGAAGCAGCCATCTAGCCAACCCCTCCATACTTCTACTCGCTGCTTTGGACCGGGCAGAGACAGACAGCACAGTATCTGCCCCCAGATGCAAGCGGTGTGAGCACTAAGTTCAGAGAGGCCTGGGAGTGTGCCCAAGGCAGACCAAGGAGTGCTCACATCCAGAGACAGGCTGGTGCAGGCTCATCCTGCCCTTCCCTGCCACGGATCTTTAGAAGAGTTTAGAACTTTAGAAGATTAATTAATATCCTCAGGAAATACAAGAATGACCACACACTGCCACACATACACACACACAAAAAGAGGGATCCTGGAAATTAAAATTGTCATCACTGAAATTAAAAGTTCAACTGATGGGATGAATGCTGAATGGGTACAGCTGATGAGCAAGTCGTTTAGCTGGAAGATCCAGTTAAGTAGTTCTTCTAGAATGTAGCACAACAGAGGAAAGCTAAGGGATGTATAGAAAACAGGAACAAAAGGTCAAAGATCTCCCAAATAGAGGAATTTTAGAAGAACAGAGAAGGTGAACAAAGGAATAATAACAGCAAACACAGAAAAAAAAATTGCCCAGGATTAAAGACATGACGTCTCTGATTGAACAGGACTAGTAGAAGACACACTCCTAAACATCGTGTGAATTTTTAAAGCACCCAGGATGATGAAACAACTCAAAGTAATTACATAAAAGGGGGGAAGGGACTCTAATTAGAATTCCAATACAATCAAGGCATCTGGATAAGTGTTTCACTCTAATGGTCATGAGCCCACAGAGGGGACCTTCCTTTCCACCCAGCCTCTGCGACCATTCTAGTACCGTCCATACTGGTACTAACAGCTGGTCACCCAGGCCTCAGATCTCCAGCCAATTCTGTAAACCATGGAAACACAGGTGTTCAGATCATACCCTGGACCTCGAGATCTGGAAGTGAGCCATTAAATCCCTCTCTGACTACAAACCCCAAGCAGATCACCCTTCCCATCAAACAGGGTTTTGGCCTCCTTAGACGTGCTGTCCTTTCACCTCACACCGTTCTCCCATGCAGTCAGGTTAGCACTGCTGATTCAACTTCCTTCCCCAATTTGCCTGGCTCCCACGATAAATCTCTTGACCTTGCATTAGGAGCCTCCTTTAATTTTCCACAAAGGCTTGTGCCATGTCTACCAGCGAACTCCGCACTAGACTCAATCTACTCCATCACAAATGGCCTAGCCCCTGGGCTACGGAGCCCATTTAAACATGGCACCACCATGTTAACTGACTCCACTGCAAATATCTGATCTCCAGCCTCACCTGGGTCCTGGATGGTCTCAAAACTCTCTGAAAATTCTTTATTCACCTCTAGTCAGTTCCTGGGTCCGTTCTTCAAAGATACGGCCCCAATCTTCACTATTCTTTCAAAGTTCTCTAGCTGTCCCCAGTTCCCCTTTACTAGTAATAAATGATGGTACATGATCAGACTTTTCTCAAATATATTTTGTATGCAATGATATACTTTAAATGTTAAGATATAATAGGTTAGAAAAAAATTTTTTCAACATAAAACAATCAGATATCATCACCTATACTTCTAAAGTCAATGATTCCCTCCAACTGTACTTCATTCTACCAGTTACCCTCTGCCTGAAACCCCCTATTTTGGCTTCCACATCACTCTCTTGTTTTTCCTCCTACTTCTGACTATACCCTTTATCTCCTTCGCCAGCTTCTCTGCCAACAGGCCAGTGTGCCTCAGATCTCTTCCTTTTCACTATACCATGCTCCCTAGGTGACCTCATCCACTCCCACAGCTGTATTTATTAGTGTCATATGCTGATGGCTCCCTCATTACACCCAATAACCCAGGCTCAAATATCCCACTGCTTATACTCATCTTTACCAGAGGCCTCCTACATCCCTCAGCCTCAACATATCAAATCAAACTTCCATTCACCTACTTCTCTGCATTCCTTTTTCGGTTTACAGAAATACCATCCACTTAGTTTTCCAAGGGAGAAAAATTAAGTCACCTTTCACATTTCCTCTTCCTCGACCTTTATACCCAAGTCACCAAGTTCAGATGATTTAATCCAAAATGTATCTCAGTGTGTCCCTCACTCTTCATTTCCAAGTCATTACATCTCTCTCACCTGGACCCTCCACCTTATATTACATGTATCTACACCTATGAGAGTCAACCTGGGCTGCACATTAGAATCACCTGGGGAACTTATGAAACTCCTAATGCTCAGAGCACACCTCAGGTCAATTATATTAGTCTCTGGGAGTGGGATCTAGGCATCAGCATATTTTTACAAGACTCCACAGGATGCCAATATGCAGCCAGATTTTAAAAATTTCCAGACATGAGCCCACAGACTGAAAGTGCATACTGAATACTAAGCAAGAAAAATAAAAACAAATTTTAAAACGAAACAACTAAAAGTGAAACTAACCTCGAAGATGAAGGGAAAATCATGAAAAAGCTCCTGGAGAGAAAAAAACAGATTATCTACAAAGGAAAGAAAATTCCACTAATAGCAGACTTGTTGTCTGCAACATTAGATGACAGAAGACAACAAGTTAAAAAATTCTTCAAAGTGGTGGGATTAGGGGGAAACTGTGAACCTAGAATTCTATGGCCTGCTAAATTTTTCTTCAAGAATGAAACAGACTTTTTCAGACACACAAAGCAAAGACTCTACCATTCACAGACCATCACTGGAAGAATTACCTTACAAAGAATATATGTCACTATGCAGGTAAGTGAGCCGAAAGATTAGAGAAGTATTTAATGATATTGACCAAGTCTGGATTCCACCTAGAAAACAGATGTGTGAAGTAGAGGCACCACTGAGAGGTTCCAAAGACCTTAATGAAGGTAAAACAGTTCAGTGCAAACAAATGAAGATTATAACAAAAGTATTACCAGGGTTCTTGCTAGCTAATTTTAATTATTTGCCTGTGCTTTCATAGAATTTAAGTTTCAGTTTTCAACTATTCAATTTTTAAAACTTTAAATAATAAAAGCCAGGAAGCACTGCCAATATAGCAGTATTAAAAGATGTTTACCACTTTCACTGCAAAAAAAATGATATAATATATTTATACACTTATCAAAATATCAAAACAATTTTATTTTTGTCAGAAATATCTTTTCTTGTTTTCTAGGTGATATACAAATAATTTAAGAAATCAAAGTGAAAATCATTCAATTCCTGTAACATTAAACTTAGTTTCCTTCATTATTTCTGAATTAATTCAACCACCCATGTTAAGTTTAATAAATTAATCCTCAGTAATATAATTCTAAGATTAACCACAAGGATGGAAAAAAGACTCTTAACCAAGATGATAATTATATATTTAATACATCTTGCTTTAAACAGCAAATTTCAAAGTAAACACATCATAGACCTTATAACTTATTAAAGAATTATAGTGCTTACAAAGTTGATTCTAAAAATATACCTTATTTGTTCTAAATGAATAACATTATCTAGAAGATAGAATAATAAATTACAGTAGTATGTTTACCACCACTATAGTTAGGATTGTGTACATATATTCAATAGGAAATCCTCTTAGGATTTTCACACTTTCAGCCTTAAAACATAAGAGCAGATTAAAGTTTGGCATACAAGATCTCAGTCTGACAGGAAATGGTTTTAAAATCAAAACTGGAAAAATATCTAGTTGACATATTAAGAGAGCATGAGCACACGCACACACACATACACACACTCTCTCTCTCTCTCTCTCCCTCACTCAGTCCTACACACACACACATACACACCCCTCCAGAGTAAGCAGATTTCACCCTTGTGTATCAGACAATTGCCATCAATTTCAAAAATAAAAACTGGGGGAAAAGGTTAACTAAGACTATGTTTAAATCATACTCAAAAGGCTCCAGTTGTTGGAAAAATATGCACAAAACTGTTACCAGGATCCTTACCATGCACAATATGCCATCCCAATACATTCTAAAACAACACATTCTTGAACTGTTCATTAATGGGCGCATGGATACATAAGAAATTATGTGCCCATCCACTCCTCGGATGCAATCCACTGACAATCAATCATATGAAGCAGCCCAGCTCAAATGGTTCTCTTTACAGAACCCAACAGATTACAGAACCCAAGACAACTAGAAACTTCATTTTGACCTGTTCAGGAATTCTTATGTGTTCCATGTGCAAAAGCAGTGTAATACTGTACTGCAAATGACAGTTAATATCACTTAACACTTTGTGGCACTCCAGAAGGTCATTTTGTATTTGTAAAACGTATTTACTCTAGTTAAATTTTTCAATGGTCCTTACTTTTAATTATATGTATTCTTCCAGATTTAGACTCAAAACAATTTGATGCTGATAAACTCTCCTGCTGATCACTTTCACCTCCAGTAAAATCTGTTAAAAGAAAAATTACTCTTTGGGCTCTCTCCAGTAATGCAGGTATGAAAATGTTCCCTGGAAGTTCTTTTTCATCATATATTAGAACACCCAAAGCTCTCTGATACAACATTAAAATAGAAACTAACCACACATTAGGGCACCCATAACTCGTACTGCTATATATTAGAAAAATAAAAAGGCACAACAGTAAGCAAAAGAGAATATACCACTTTCCTTTTGCTTTTTTTTTTTTTTTTGGCTTTCCTCATATTTTATTTCAGTAAGTCTATAAATTGTTCAAAGCATTCTTATACTCTGCATGACGATAACTGAATATTTTGGCACATCAACATTGTGATACAATATATGGTATGTCTAAAAAATTAAAAATTTCATCTATTAATCAACATGTTTTTTAATGTAGTGCATATATATTTTACAGTTATTTAAGTCAAATACATAAAGGTTTGTACTTGATTTACAGATGAAGCAATCACAGATTGCAGTAACATATGTATGTGTGTATATGTGTGTATATGTATACACACACCAATTAAGGGAAAAACTGCATCCTGGCAATTTTATAGTCCGAAGTATTGTTGGTATAGCTATCATTTACATGCCCTTTTCGTCTTGTTTTTCTGTACAAAAGATATGTTTTTGCCTTCTTCATTCTTGATGAGATTTTTCTGCAATAACTTTACATTCATACTGTAAAAATTAAAAGGTTAAAAGGTTAACAGATTAATGTTTATTTTGAATAGCAATTTCCATATAAACTAAAAAGGTCTAAAACTTAATAGTTTATTAACATATGCCCACTTTATTCCTCAAAGAATCTGAGAGTTATACAACTATTAGGATTAAATGACAATTATGAAAGGAAAAAAGAAATTTGCATTCTAGAACTGAAAGGGGCATAGCCAAAAGCAAGGAAAAAATGATATTTCTACATTACAAGCAAATGATAACAGTATATGATTTAGATCAATCCTAGAATATGAAAGGAAGCAAAATAAATTTCTTTGTGTGCTCACTAAGGCATATTAGCAAAGGAAAGGTCATGAACTTAAGGACAGGACTAATATTGTGAATTCAGATAATATTTTTTCAAATAACTTTAAAACTGAAAGGAAAAAATCTACTATATTAGCAAAAGCTTCTGGTCAAAACAATATTTTGAAAGGACAGCTATTAAAATGTCTACCCATAATTCAAAATAAAGTAAACCAATGGATTTAGTATAACTGGGTGGCTAGACTACCAAAAAGACAGCAATGTAAACCACTCAATTCTCTCAGCTGGCTAAAATGGTAAAAGTGACAGCACCTATTCATGAAACTGCTGTGGCATCTGAATGCCAGTCCCTGACCTTTGCCATCTCTGACTGGGCTCATCAACAATGTCCTTTTCCTTCTTAACTAAAATGATCAAACATCTTGATTTGCTGGAGATAGTCCTAATTTATATTTACAGCAACATAGTTATAAGCAGCGCTTCTTCTCACTTTTAAAACTGTCCCTTTTTCATGAAGTAGAAACATATAGATTAGTAAAATAAATTAATTAATTAATAAAAATTGGAGGATAGATCGTATCACCCTATCCATAACACATTTTAGCTTTTCTATCCAGTGGTTCTTTCCATTTTTAATACACTTGTGATTAAATTCTTCCAAATGACTTATTCTATTGCTGTATGGAGAAAACTTGTCTTACATCTCAATAACAGAAAGGTAAGTAAGTAAATGAGCATGAGCTTACCATTGCCAGTTGTCGACCGATGTTTCCCATTGTTATGCCTCCAGCAAAAAATATACATGGTAACCAAGAGCGAACATAGAGAAAATCTGGAGATGTATACCTAGAATAATAGAAATATTTTTAACAACTCACAAAGGAAGTACAATGACACTTATTAAGATAATTACAATGGAAATAAGTTACTCTGTAGATTAAAGTGGCTAATGCAATTTTAAAATCTCAATTCTGAGATTTTAGGAAACAAGCACCAAAAAGAATACTTACTGATAAACACCATTATAGACTAGCAGTTGAGTGACCAAAGTTGCCAAAAAAGCAATTCCTATTCCAAGGCCAAAACCACTTCTAGATCTATCAAAAGTCCACCACAGTCCAATGGATAGTGCAGCCAGTGTGAGAGACAACTGTATGTTGTTATCAAAATCCACTTTCTGAGATCAGTGTTAAAGAGTCATCTTTAAATTTGTAGCCAAATAATTTCACCTGTTCATTTTTCTAAAATAAAAGAGGTTAATGTTGAGAAGGGAATAGACTGCGTAGTCTAGAGTGCATTCAGGTTTTTAATACAATGTACAAGACTAGGGAGGCTTAAAACTATTTCCGATATGTACTAAAGACGCACAGAGGGCATACTTCACTAATAGATCTCACTGACGTGTTAACCTCTCCAAAAAAATGGCACAGTATATACATTGCCGATTATCAGATCAGATCCATTATTTAAGAAATGCTTTCCTTGCAAAAAAAATGTAACTAGAAGCCTCGAAACACAAGCATTGCTAAAGGAACACACTTTTGCCAAAAAGGAAACCGATATTACTTCTCAAACAGGCTTAGAATTACTTGAGAATCATACAGGAACTTGCAAATAAAAGAGTTGACAGCTATTTAACAGGGTACCACATTCTCTATGTGATTTACTGACAGACACATTTTATAATAATGCAGTTCAGAAACAAGAGTACCAAGGACACACTATCCCTTTCTATTATGTCAACTGTTCTAGTTTTAATTTGTTGAGGATAAAGCCCTGAAGTGAACATTATCTTGCAACCTGCCAAGCTATTTTGGTGCCTGAGACTTTCTGGTATAGGACAGTTTGCTCAAATGATATTTTATTTCCGTCACCTACTTAAGCACCTATTCACAAATGTACAGCCCTTTTCTACTTCAAAATCTCTGGGTAAAACGAAGCTTTATAAATTCAATTTTCTCATTTCTTTGCTAGAGGATTACACTAAAGGAATTAATTTCAAGTGTCATTAAAAGAGCATTATCTATGTCCCAAAGGCCACATCTTGGCTGTATATCCAGCTCCCCAGAGGATACTATATATCTTGCCAAACTGGCCATGCTGCAACTACAGAGAAGAGAGGGGAAGTTCCAAAAATACATATAAAACCATTTTCCACTTCCTTTAACACCCTGCTGTTTACCACCATTCCCCCCTCCTACCCAACCAGCGGGTATCCTGAACGCCCAGACTGCCATTCTTGGTCAGTCCTTGTTTAGGCTTGATTTATCAAGAGACCTATAGTCTATGGCATGTTTTCTGAAAAAGCTTTTATTCTTTAGTGAGTATTATACCTCAAATTCCAAAGAAACACTTGTGCACTCTGATTTCTCTATGCAATAAACATTCTTGTAAAGACTGGAATTTGACATTAACTGGGTTCTATCTTTGCTGACTAAATTAACTTTGCTAAGAGTCAAAGCAAAATAAGGAGGCTTCTAGGGTACAGGTAAAACATCAATCTTAAAAATAGTACAATGTGATTCTCTAAAGTCTAAGTAACCTAATATTAAGTCTGTGTTATATATTTTGTAAACATTTTGGATTCTGCTTAAAGGATGAACAGAATAGCTAAGATGACTATATTTAAGGATTTCATTGAGAGGAAGAAAAGAATGACCAAAGTAAAGAATTTAAATTAGATATATAAGTCTTTTTAATTCCAGAAAGCGTTATCTAAATTACTCAACTTAAAAATACCTGAACTGTCTAGGATAGAAAGGTCTAATCCACCAGACAGAGATGAATTTACACACTTGTGGGGCTCCTCGGTAGGAGAAGGAATGTTCCTAGACTCGAGTCAGGATCTCCAGGGTCTGGCCTCAGCTCTGGAGCAGCCTTGCAGTATGTATGACTCAGCAAAGTACGAAACCTCTCTAGCTTTCATTTCTCTTATTATCTTTATAAAGAAAATGTGGAACTAGGGGATTTCTAAGTTTTCTTCTAGATATAATATTGTACGAGTCTACCTTTTTAAAGTCCTCCTAACCACTAGATTTGTTTGTTATAAAATCCTAATTCTCAAAGATTTCACCAAACTAAACATGTTGGGAAACTCTTTAAGACAAAAGGGTAAAAAACAAAATAATAAGAGCCACTGAGGGACTTCCAAATTCACAGGTCTCCAAGAGCCAGCGTGACTAGGAACAGAAAGGTAGACGTGCCTTCAGAATCTAGGACCCTGCTTCTTTCCTTGGTTCCTCTTCTCCAGCTTCTCCAAAACACCTCAATACATGCTGTTAGAGACGCTGGAATCTCCTTGCCCCGTGACCCACACTCTCTCCAGCTAACTGCCAGCCCTGAGCCCAGCGCAGAGTTACAGGAGGAAACCTTGGTCAGCCTGAGTCACACATCTTCTCTTCCCCAAAGAGAAGGCTCCTGCCACCTCCATCCTCTAAGCCATCTCTTCCAGAAAAGGGAAGACTGAACTAGCATTTCCCAGATCCTCTTCTACAAAGGGAAGTTGGGAGGTCAGCGGGGCAGGGAGGAAGTAGGGAGGATGACAGGATAAAATCCTTATGAGGGCAAAAACTTTTGTTCTGGGGGTGGACATTTTTTTTCTGGGGGGTAGAAGCAGAGGAGAGGTGGGACATAGAGGCTACCTTATCCTTCTAGCCAGAACACTATGAAAATACTCATTAATCACTAAATTAAAATATCAAAATCCTCAAAATGATCAAACTTTAAAAATATGTAACTTAGGAAAAAAAGTTCTTTTCGGCCACAGTCTAAGTTGGCTATTTCTGCCTCTGCCACTTTTAAGAACATTTATGTGGTTTGTTGGTGTTGATTAAAACCAATAAATAACAGTCTTTAAAAAATATATATATACATATATATATATATTCTTCAAATTAAAAAAACAGAACAAAAAACCAACCAGCACCTGAAGCCACCAGATGTCCTTACTAACAAATCTTAAATGAAGAGAGAAAAGAAATTCCTTTGAAAATGTATCTGTTTCAATGCTAGTTACCAAAACTAGATGGAGGTAATCAAGTAACCTAATTTAAAAAAAACATGTAAATTTTTTAAATGTGCAAAGTTCTGAGTGATATAGAAAAATAGGGATTGAAATGAAAGGCTATACGCCACACTGTAATTGCATAGGTGCTCCCATGATGCTTCAACAATGCGGCGTGCATTCTTTTTATGACTAAGTGGGCATATCACAATTTGACAACAGTGAAGTTGCGAGGGACTGTTTAACCTTTGGTTTGTCAAAAGCTGCTTTGTTATTACGCATTTCATTACAGCAGGAAGGATACAGCGCTGGCATGATTTATACCAACAAAGACGGCTACACACCGCATTACACTGGACCACTCTCTTTTAAATTTATGTGGTTCTCCTAGATGCCTGTCAATGCAGGGGTATAATAACCCAATCACGGCTGTGGGGAAAAAAAGGGAAAAAATTAAGTCATCTCCAATGGTATACAGGCAAAACTTAAGCTAAGAGTCACAACAAGCATCATAAGCATTTGAAAGATTCTCTAGAAAAGCTTTTCAACTTACTTAACATTAATCGTTGATATTTTAAACTTACCTTCCAAAAGAAAAAAAAAGTGAGGATAACACCATCGAAGACAGCATTGTAAATGAGTACAACAGTACTCTCAATTATAATAGGCAAAACACTACTTCAGCGTATGATTCAGAATTTAGCAGATTGGACTAGATGATTCATGCTACTTTTCTACTACTAATATCTCTGAGACTTGGAAAGCATCAAAGCAGTTGGCAGTTAAGCAATGTTCTCTCTAAGCTATATAACCATGAAGCATGCTATGAAATGTCACAAATCTAAAGAGAATCTCGAAGCGTAAACACGTACAATCTCATCATATACATTGTATTAGATGGCTATAGCTGTCCTGCCACACATACAATTCTTGTCCCCCCAGCTTCTTGTCTCACTCAGTCTCTTGCGTCTAGTGCTTTGTCCGGACAACTCCCTTCCAACCTGGCCCTCTAATGAGACTCTAGGTCAGACTGTCAAAGCAGGAAAACTTGCAACAGAAATCTACTTGTAAGACTCATTCTGCAGAGGACAGATGGAGGAAACATGGTCTACAGAATTATATATTTTCAGTTAAAATTTAAATCCACTGTTAAAAGATCAGAAAAAAACCTTTTTGGTATATTTCTGCATTTTGGAAAGAACATTTTGAATACTAATGGTGCAATTAATTAGTATGAATAACTCAATTTTAACTTAAATACTTGACAAACCTCAACATTTTATTCATTCACTGGGAGAAGATTTTAAAGTCATTAAAAAAAGAGTATTTCATGAACCAAAACATTCTTCAACAAGTTTTAAGGAAAATATACTTCTACAGATTAAATTTAACAGGAAATAGCTGGGCAGCTTTAATTTGCTCATCTTCCTAAAAACAGAATGTTTATGCTGCCATTTGGTAATAAAAACACAACTGTCACATCAGTTGAAAAGTATGTTTAAAATGTCCAGTATTACCTATGATGTATCGTGAAATTATTGCACCCAAACCTACGCCTGAGGGGTTAGAAGCCCCTGCCTGGCCTGGTACTGGCTAGCTCTATCTCACAAACAATGCATTCAATCTTAAAGGAAAAACAGAAATCAATTAATATCAAAAATCAGAGGCTAGCAGACCAATGGGACAGCATGAAAACCAGGCTGCACCGTCACCCTTTCATCTGGAGTGGAGATGTTGCAATGATGCAGACATTTTCTAACCCGCAAAACTGAAAGTGCTCTTCTGATTAGGCTTTTGCTGAGGATAGATGGTTCACAGACCATCAAGACATTAACAACAAACTTCAGCAACGCAGAGCTCCAACAGCTACCAGTAAATTTAAAAGTTTCAAATTATATTCCTATTTAAAAGGTTCTGCTCTAAAATCCTGTGAGATTAACTGACAGCATTTCCAGATTTCTACAAAATTAAAGTGGCAACAAGCATGCCTAACAGTTGAAATATATCTAAATGAATATTACCTCTTTTTTGCTCTCAAGGGGTCATGAAACTGGCAGCTCATGTGTCATCCCTCACTCTCTCTCTCTTTCTTCCCTTTGCCTGTCGCTGAGGAAATCAACTAAGATCAGGTATTCCAAGTCAATTTTCCTCAGCATCTGATGCCATAGGTAAAGAATTATCACACAGAGAGCACTGACGTGTGTGCAAAGATATAAATAAGTAAAATTGACTGTATTTTTATGCATGTGATGTCAGACTCACACATGAGAGACAACTGAGGAGAGAAAGCAAAAACACAAAAAGAAATTTAAACTGCCACGCTGCCAACCTTGGGATTTGCCAATAAAAATCAAATCCATTGAGTATGCATGGTTCTTGGATGCTCACTGAGAGGGAGAATTCGAGGGAGCTTGTCACTTCGCATTAAACGTCTTCTTTCTTTCCTTTAAATAAAGGCCTGGCAGAGTCTGAGAGCAACATCTACAGCACAGTGAGGCTGCACTGTTCAGAGCTCAGCAGAAGTGTGTCTGGCCTTCTTGTCCTCTTCCTCCACTTTCTTACTTTAACAAGAGAGACTGTTAAAATCACGCCTGTGTAAAATCATATGCAAACACAGTCCTGCTTAATCAGATGGTTCTCTGATGCAAAAACCACATTTCTTGTGATATATTTCAGTTATTTCCCAGTGACTAGTTGAAGGGTATCAAGACCAAAAACAAGAGGAGTTTGTAAAACGTCAATATTAAGTCATCATTTTTCATGGTCATGTTTTTAATGCAGTGCTGCGCTAAAAGAAACAGTTAAATCAAACATTTTTCAAGGAAAAGGGGCTGAAAAAGCACAACCACTGAATGAGATATACTTTCATGGAAAACTACGACAGGATAAGCAATGTGTTCATCCAACAAATACTTAAACCTCCATAATGTGTTGAGTTCTTGGTATTTACTGGGGATTTAAAAAGGGAAAATGAGTAAGACATGACCCCCGTCCCAAAGTGACCACAGAAACAATTAAGTAATGTGTTAGGCGCAGCACTGAAGGGCCCGGGGGTCCAGTCTTCTCCTGGTGTGTGCCGAGGGGAAGCAGGGTGCGAGCGTGTCAGGAAAGCTTCATAGAAGAGGTGACCCTTGAGGCAGGAGTGTTCAGCAGGTGAGTGGTCTGGAAAGGGCTTTCTAATCAAAGGAAAGCATTTGAGGAAAAGCACAGACAACAGAAAATACCTGGTATCATCTGGAAACTGGAAACTTTAGGCGGAAAGGGAGTTTCGGGTCCAGAAAGAGTCTGAGAAGGATACAAGTTGGCGGGGGCCATATCACAGAGACTTGCCCCACAGTCACTGGGAAAATAACACCATCACACTTGTGCCAGAGAGAGGGCCAATCGTTCTTCCAGCAGTGAGTGTACAACACAGGACAGGAGAGAAGGGACTTGGGGTGCAAGGGGGACAAAATCAGAGGCAGAAAAAGAAAAGAATGAAAATTCCAAGCAGAGCTGTTGAGGGCCTAGACCAAGAAAGAGACAAGGGAGAGATGTAAAACTTGGAAACCAGATGTGGGCAGTGAGAGACAAAGGGAGGAGCCTTCTAAGACTCTCCAGGAATTGGGTGACTGACTGCATGACTCAACAGAAAAGATCTGTTTGTTTTCATTTTTAAATTAGATATTAATTTGACTCATGATTTGTTAGTCAACTTCTCCGGTTATTTTATCCACACAATCTTTTTTCTCCTATTTATTCTTCAGAGAGATTCCTTTGTAGCTCTCAATCACATTCAAGAGTTTCTTAACTCCAATTCCTATGCACTGCACACGTAAAGAAGTTAACCAACTTGAAACACCAAACATTATTAAACTAAAAATAGAGAACCAGGAAAAGGAAAATGGGATCAAAAGGAGTTTATCAGAGTTCTCTACTAGTTGTCGCTCCAGAAGCACCACTAGCAAATTTTCCATCACTGGGTTTACATGTAGAAAGTGGTGATTCTGGAGACCCTCCAGAAGGTAGCTGCTCAGTCTACGAATATTAATTAGACAGGAAAATCAAAGGACAATTATCAGTTTTTCTGATTTAACATGATAAGAGCTTTGAAAATGCACAACAACACATATACACAAAAACATATACATACCATATACACACGCAAACTGTACACACTGTTTCTTACAGTATTTACTTTTTTTCTTTAATATTTTCCCTAAAATTGGAGGGGGCAGCGATTATGCAAGAGTCCATTTTCCATCTTTGGCAACTTCCACAAACCTGGTATCCTCACCCCCACCTACTAAACACCATGACCTACCCAACATCAACAGCAACATTAACTGGAATCTCAATTCCCCAAGGCCTCTCTCCTTTCATTTGCTGGGCACCTCATAGAATGCACTGCTTTCAGAAGAAACAGTTAAGCAAGAAATGTAAATGCAAATCCTCCACACGAAATGATATGAGGTTAGGTTTGTAAATGCGACAAGCCTAGCGGCTGGGAGAAGGTGGGAAAGTAGGGACAAAGTGACTAAAATGTAGCATTAACATTACAAGTTTTCCTTCCTAAATGTGAGTTTGTGGCAAAAGTGCCCATATCACAGGCAGAGATGTAACCCCTGTTCCTCTCCATGATAGAGGTAGAATGAAACCTCAGCCAAGTTCTCCTGCCCTAGCCCAGAATGTGTAGCACAGGCCACTGTACTCCATCCAAGCCTGGCACTTAGTCTGGAAGGTTCAAAAGAGATACCCAATAGAGGGAAGGATGAGTGGCTCCCTCTGCCCCCTTCCCCAGCATGTGATGTTTCACCTAGCCATGCCATTCCTTGGCTCTGGAACCCTGGACTCATTGATATCCTCTCCTTATCTGTTTCCTCATCCCCCCAAAATAGGCACAATGCAAACATATCACTCCCAACGTTGCCCTAACCCTGGGGTTAAGGGATATGCCCAGAACATTAGTAGACATTCAATAAGCAATCATTTCCCTCCCTTGACCTTCCTTTTGTCTATTCTGAAAAGACATGTTCTTCCAAGTCCTGAAAAGCTTCTATTAGTAGCGAGACAGCAGCTCTACCATAGGAGAAAATAAACAAAGAAGTAGAAAAAGTCATTGGGAAAACTTTTTTTCTTCTGAACTTAAGTGAAAGAAAGGAAAATACATGAGGACTGGTAGACACAACAGAGAATAATAAAACGTAATTTATGCTTTGTCTGTTTGGACTATGTTGCCTGTTCTCTCAGAGAATAACAACAGCTCTGGGGAAACTAAGAATCATCACCTTTACAAGTTCTCTTTTAATGGGAATATTGTAATAGTGAGACATCAATATATAAACCATGCTGAAACCTTACCACGAAAATGCCCTTCAATCCACACAATGGGATTATGTAATTGTCCAATAAGTTTCACAAGGTCATTTTAAAATGTCTCACACCTAACTCCTCACTGTTGGCCCTCTAGCTCTAGGACGGAAATCAAGGAGGATCTACATTATATTGCAAGGTAGTTATGTACATTAGGTGTGAGACACCAAATGGGCATTCATAAAAGCGCTTTTCTCTCTCAATCAGAATTATCTTCTACCACATCATTATGGCTTCCTTCTATTACTTTATTATATAAAATAGTATCAATCTATTGGTCTCATTAGAAAAAGCTGAAGAGCTATCCATTATGGAAGCTCATCATCAATACAGCATTCTGAAATGCTCCACTTTATCCAATACACACTGTCCACCAAAAACAAGATCTAAATAGAATAATAATGATTTTAAGCAAAGAGAATCTACCTTACTGATCTCTTTAAGAATCTATTATTCTGAATGTATATCTAAAAACAAGATACCAAGAAAAAAAGCATATGCAAAAATGTAAAAAATAACAACATGAAGCTTTAAACTTGAATAAAACTATAGTCAACCTTTGAACAACATGAGGGTTAGGGGCACCAACCCTCCATACAATCAAATAGCTGAGTATAACTTTACAGTCAGCCCTCTGTATCCACAGTTCCGCATCCACAGATTCAACCAACCTCGCACTGTGTAGTACATATTTATTGAAAAACATCCACACATAAATTCCACCTTATGTTGTTCAAGGGTCGACTGTCTCCATCTTTCAAGTTTTTATCTACTTCAAAAACCAGAGGATAACATACATGTCAAAACCTTAAAACCAAACAGTGATGATGATCAACAAAATAACTTAAAATAAGTTTATATGAGATGGATTGACGAAAGAACAAAATTAAGAGGTTAAAAGCCTCATCCCTAAGAGAATCAAGATTGTTTTTAGGATTGAATTTTTAAAAGTCATATGGGTCAGTCAGATAGAAATCAGACACAAAAGAGTACAAACTCTATGATTCCATTTATATCACATTCTAGAACAGGCAAAAATAATCCAGTGACAGCCTGAGGCTGGGGGTAGGCTGCAAAAGGGCACAGGAGAATTTAGGGGGTAACAGAAATGTTCTATACCTGGATTGTGGTGGTAGTTACATGACTTCTATGTATTTGTCTAAACTCATCAAACTGTTCATTTAAAACAGGTCTATTGCACTCTATTTAAATTACACCTCAATAAAGCTAATTTTTTTAAAGTATTGCCCAGACAATATTGACACTCATTTACCCTAATTCCTTTCTAAGCGTTATAGACATGGCCTTCACGTACCTGAAGCTGTGCCACAGCATGGCGGTACCCACCATGCTGAAGAAAAGATGCTTGCAATCACATCAGGTGGAAAGAGCGTCACATTTCTCTGAATCTGAAGTAAATTTAACACTAATGCAAGAAATACTCCAATAAAAAACAGCACTACTCCTCGAATCATCAAGTTCACAGTTCGGCTAGTGACAGATGAGATATAGGGACCACACTTTTTGCGCCCAGGTGACTGTGTCTCTCCTTCCGCCATGGTTTCATAAGTTCAGTAAGTCAGCAAAAAAATTTTAAAAAGAGGAAGAAGAAATGGCTTCTCAGCTGAAAAGCCAACTGCCTGAACCAAAGCAGATTGGCGTTTCAACAATATTGCATCTCGTCCTAAAATAGGACCTACCAGAAATCCTGCAAGAGATAAGAAAAAAGAAATCAATGTGTCTAATAAATGACTATACAATTTTCCTGATTTCAATACTAATTCATTTTAAAGGCCAAATAATGAATTGACAAGCTTATATATTTATTTAAATTATTTACTGAATAAGAAGACATTTAAAAAGCATTTTTATATGAATGATGTAATAAAAAATAAAGTGCTAAATCTATATTTACTAGGACAGAATTATTGAGCTAAGAGACTAAAAGGTTAGAATAATAGTAAAAACAGCTAGCCCCACATCAGTGAAAAAAGCAGGACAGGTTATCTGAGACACTCCTACTAGAAACTGGAAGATCAAAATCCAGGTTTCTGTTTCTTCTACCCAAATCTCCAAGCCCAAGTAACTGATGGGCTTGGAGATTTAGGTAGAAATTTTTACGCTTTACAGAAAATAAATAAATTTCTACTTTACAGAAAATCAACATATTCTGACTGAAAATGTTACACTGCTCTGAATAGAATGTGACTTGCTCGTGAGGACAATCTCCATAGGGGGATAAAATGACCTCTTTTGATGTTTAATGCTGATATATGTGAATTTCTGCACAAAAGTATCTTACAAAAAAACAGACCACCACCCACTCACTCACACATACACCAAGCACAGAAACCAGACCTGACCCGCTGTCACCAGGGCCCGAGTTGTGTCCCACCCCTGCCTTGACCCAGTCTGCCCTTGTTGCAATCATGAGAGCTATTGTGAGAAAGCTGCAGTGGGAAGCAGAAGAAAGCGAGCTAAGAAAATAACGAATAACCTCTTGGCTAGATGCTAAGAAGTTTGATCCACATGGCTAAAACCTAGAACTTTGCAAGCACAATCACTCTAGGTATTCACTCACCCCTCTAAACCAACGTGAACTTTCCTTTGTATATGTTCAAGACAAATAACATTTGAGGCTATCTAGGAGCTGTCCTTTTAACTCTCACAATAACCCTAACAGGTAAGTGCAATTATGTCCATTTTACAGGTGAGGTATAAAAGCAAAGAAAGGTTAAGTCACTCAGCCAAGTTTCCAGCCTTAGTAAGAGGGCAAGCTGGGATTCAAATCCGTGCAGTCTGTCTGGCTCCAAAGCCCTCATTCATACCATTATGTTCAGCCTCCCAAATTGTTACATGTTGCCCTAAATTCTTTTTCTATGAATACTTTTTTGAAGTGGGAAAGTATTATACAGACTATTTTCATAACTTACCATTATCCCACCTAACAGTATATCTTGGGATATTTCCTTTGAATCTCTAAGCATTTTATTTAAACCTTTACTATGGCACTTCTTATAGGTACCTTATGATGATATGTACAGTTGCTTTACAGGTTATAAAATTTCTATGTAGGTCTTATTCACTACCAAGTTTTTGCTGTGCCTACGTACCCAGACAGGTACGTGCCTAGCTCATAGTAGGAGCTCTACATATTCATATTTGTTTCATTAAATTAGGTTAACTCCTTTTGAATCAAAGTATATTGGGTTAAGCAGGCCTTTTTTTTTTTTAACATCTTTATTGGTGTATAATTGCTTTACGATGCTGTGTTAGTTTCTGCTTTGTAACAAAGTGAATCACCTATACATATACATATATCCCCATATCTCCTCCCTCCCACCCTCCCTAGCCCACCCCTCTAGGTGGTCACAAAGCACCGAGATGATCTCCCTGTGCTATGCGGCTGCTTCCCACTACCTATTTTACATTTGGTAGTGTACATATGTCCATGCCACTCTCTCACTTCGTTCCAGCTTACCCTTCCCCCTCCATGTGTCCTCAAGTCCATTCCCTACATCTGCATCTTTATTCCTGTCCTGCCCATAGGTTCTTCAGAACGTTTATTTATTTATTTTTTTAGATTCCATATATATGGGTTAGCCTATGGTATTTTATTTTTCTCGTTCTGACTTACTTCACTCTGTACAACAGACTCCAGGTCCATCCACCTCACTACAAATAATTCAATTTCGTTTCTTTTTATGGCTGAGTAATATTCCATTGTATATATGTGCCACATCTTCTTTAACCATTCATCTGTCGATGGACACTTAGGTTGCTTCCACATCCTGCTATTGTAAATAGAGCTGCAATGAACATTGTGGTACATGACTCTTTTTGAATTATGGTTTTCTCAGGATATATGCCCAGTAGTGGGATTGCTGGGTCGTATGGTGGATCTATTTTTAGTTTTTTAAGGAACCTCCATACTGTTCTCCATAGTGGCTGTATCAATTTACATTCCCACCAACAGTGCAACAGGGTTCCCTTTTCTCCACAACCTCTCCAGCATTTATTGTTTGTAGATTTTTTGATGATGGCCATTCTGACTGGTGTGAGGTGATACCTCATTTTAGTTTTGATTTGCATTTCTCTAATGATTAATGACGCTGAGCATCCTTTCATGTGTTTGTTGGCGATCTGTATATCTTGGAAGAAATGTATATTTAGGTCTTCTGCCCATTTTTGTATTGGGTTGTTTGTTTTTTTGATATTGAGCTGCATGAGCTGCTTGTAAATTTTGGAGATTAATCCTTTGTCAGTTGCTTCATTTGCAAATACCTTCTCTCATTCTGAGGGTGTTCTTTTCGTCTTGTTTATGCTTTCCTTTGCTGTGCAAAAGCTTTTAAGTTTCATTAGGTCCCATTTGTTTATTTTTGTTTTTATTTTCATTTCTCTAGGAGGTGGGTCAAAAAGATCTTGCTGTGATTTATGTCATAGAGTGTTCTGCCTACGTTTTCCTGTAACAGTATTATAGTGGCTGGCCTTACATTTAGGTCTTTAATCCATCTGGAGTTTATTTTTGTATATGGTGTTAGGGAGTGTTCTAATTTCATTCTTTTACATGTACCTGTCTGGTTTTCCCAGCACCATTTCTTGAAGAGCCTGTCTTTTCTCCATTGTATATTCTTGCCTCCTTTATCAAAAATAAGGTGACCATATGTGTGTGGGTTTATCTCTGGGCTTCCTATACTGTTTCATTGATCTGTATTTCTATTTTTGTGCCAATACCATACTGTCTTGATTACTGTAGCTTTGTATTATAGTCTGAAGTCCAGAAGCTTGATTCTTCCAGCTCCATTTTTCTTTCTCAAGATTGCTTTGGCTACTCAGGGTCTTCTGTGTTTCCATACAAATTGTGAAATTCATTCTAGTTCTGTGAAAAATGCCATTGGTAGTTTGATAAGGATTGCACTGAATCTGTAGATTGTGTTGGGTAGTACAGTCATTTTCACAGTGTGATTCTTCCAATCCAAGAACATGATGTATCTCTCCATCTATTTCTATCAACTTTAATTTCTTTCATCAGTGTCTTATAGTTTTCTGCATGCAGGTCTTTGTCTCCTTAGGTAGGTGTATTCCTATGTATTCTATTCTTTTTGTTGCAGTGGTAAATGGGAGTGTTTCCTTAATTTCTCTTCAGATTTTTCATCATTAGTGCATAGGAATGCAAGAGATTTCTGTGCATTAATTTTGTAGCCTGCTACTCTACCAAATTCATTGATTAGCTCTACTAGTTTTCTGGTAGCATCTTTAGGATTCTCTATGTATAGTATCATGTTATCTGCGAACAGTGTCAGCTTTACTTCTTCTTTTCCAAGTTGGATTCCTTTTACTTCTTTTTCTTCTCTGATTGCTGTGGCTAAAACTTCCAAAACTATGTTGAATAAGAGTGGTGAGAGTGGACAACCTTCTCTTGTTCCTGATCTTAGAGGAAATGGTTTCAGTTTTTCACCATTGAGAACGATGTTGGCTGTGGATCTGTCATAAATGACCTTTATTATGTTGAGGTAAGTTCCCTCTATGCCTACTTTCTGGAGGGTTTTATCATAAATGGGTGTTGAATTTTGTCCAAAGGTTTTTCTGCCTCTATTGAGAGGATCATATGGTTTTTCTCCTTCAATTTGTTAATATGGTTTATCACATTGATAGTTTGCATATATTGAAGAACTCTTGCATTCCTGGGGTAAACCCCTCTTGATCATGCTGTATGATCCTTTTAATGTGCTACTGGATTCTGTTTGCTAGCATCTTGTTGAGAATTTTTGGATCTATGTTCATCAGTGTTATTGGCCTGTAGTTTTCTTTCTTGTGACATCTTTGATTTTGGTATCAGGGTGATGATGGCCTCATAGAATGAGTTTGAGAGTGTTCCTCCCTCTGCTATATTTTGGAAGAGTTTGAGGACAGGTGTTAGCTCTTCTCTAAATGTTTGATAGAATTCACCTGTGAAGCCATCTGGTCCTGGGCTTTTGTTTGTTGGAAGATTTTTAATCACAGTCTCAATTTCAGTGCTTGTGATTGGTCTGTGTATATTTCCTATTTCTTCCTGGTTCAGTCTGGGAAGGTTGTGCTTTTCTTAGAATCTGTCCATTTCTTCCAGGCTGTCCATTTTATTAGCATACAGTTGCTTGTAGTAATCTCTCATGATCCTTTGTATTTCTGCAGTGTCAGCTGTTACCTCTCCTTTTTCATTTCTAATTCTATTGATTTGAGTCTTCTCCCTTTTTTTCTTGATGAGTCTGGCTAATGGTTTGTCAATTTTGTTTATCTTCTCAAAGAACCAGTTTTTAGTTTTACTGATCTTTGCTATTGTTTCTTCATTTCTTCTTCACTTATTTCTGATCTGGTCTTTATGATTTCTTTCCTTCTGCTAACTTTAGGGATTTTTTGTTCTTCTTTCTCTAATTGCTTTAGGTGTAAGGTTAGGTTGTTTATTTGAGATGTTTCTTGTTTCTAGAAGTAGGATTGTATTGCTATGAACTTCCCTCTTAGAACTGCTTTTGCTGCTTCCCATAGGTTTTAGCTCATCGTGTTTTCATTGTCATTTGTTTCTAGGTATTTTTTAATTTCCTCTTTGATTTCTTCAGTGATCTCTTGATTATTTAGTAGGGTATTGTTTAGCCTCCATGTGTTGGTATTTTTTACAGAATTTTTCCTGCAATTGATACCTAGTCTCATAGCATTGTGGTCAGAAAAGATACT